TCTCTCTCTCCCCCCCTCTCTCTCTCTCTCCAGCACTGATCCAGTGAGAGCGATTGTCCATTGGCTTTCAATGGCTTTGGTTATTCCATATTGGACCACAAAGGGCATCTCATCATGCAGAAAACAAAGTGAAGGTGATTTGCATCTGCATGAGTTGCAGAGCAAAGTAGGCAATGACATTGCAAATGATGCAGGACTCAGAATTTAGGAGGGAAAGACAGACAGACACAAGGGGAGAGAGAGAGAGAGAGAGAGAGAGAGAGAGAGAGAGAGAGAGAGAGAGAGAGAGAGAGAGAGAGAGAGGGCCTCGAGAATATGGGTCAGGCTTTGAATAAGGATTGTGGGTAGGTTTGGTCAGCAGCAAGCCAGTTTGCTCATCAGTGGGCTGATAGGTTTTTTCAGCAGATATTCAGCATGTGCCATGTGGAATCTGGGAGAATAAGATTCCTTGCACAGGAAAGCAGAGCCTCCTAGGATTGATGCCTTAGTCAAACCTTCTTGGACGGATAATGTATTGTTGCAGTGTAGGTCTGTCTTGTTGAATTAGTGAATGGTGGAGTCTCTACTCCCAGCTCCCAATGTATAGCTGGTTCTGAGCATTCCATTTATGTATATAGATATGATTCAATGACTGGTTAGTAGTCACTGGTCTTAGATTAACCGTCTTTCTTTGTCGAGACCTTTTTCTATACCAGTTTGGATTTCAATATCTTATTAATTGATCTGATCACCTGCTACAGACGGCTTGCAGTTTCATTGCGAAGCGGAAAAGGTACGAATTACCTGCTCACCGGTGAGCGCGTAGAGCTGAAAGGGCGAGGGTGAAGGAGAGCGCTGTAATTCCTTTCGCTATCGTGCCCTCACGGAATCGAGAACTTGGCTTAGCCAACTGGCGAACTGTGTATGCCGCTCAAGGGAATCGAAGGTTGAAGTTTGAAGTTTGAACGCAGTGCCCTTGCTCAGATTTACTTGGCTCTGTTTGGACTGTGAATGCTGGAGAATAGCGACGGCAGCGTTGTCGCCCGTCCGGTGGACGGCAGGTTTGGTACACGAATGGCAAAGAATCCTTGCTCAGATTTACTTGGCTCTGTTTGGACTGTGAATGCTGGAGAATAGCGACGGCAGTGGTGTCACCCGTCCAGTGGACGGCAGGTTTGGTACACAAATGGCAAAGAATAGCAACAACAAACGACAGTCTTCTGTTGGCACCTCAAGGTTTGGTTTGTTTGTACCAGGTTGGGTTTGTGTGCACCACCTTTCTACGGATCGGGCCTGGAAGGAATCGAATCGTTGATCTTGGGCTTAAACCGCTAGTATATTTCCCCAGCCTTGTGGAGAATTGTTCCTCAACTACTCCGAAAAAGTCGGAGCTGGCGCACCGTCCATAAAATACACCGGCGGCCTGCGCCTCGTTTTGGCCTCGGAATGGGGCTGTGCGGCCTATGTATGGCCTGTACCGGTGGTTTGACAGACAGACGCCTCAACCCATTGGGAGCTCTTGGTGGTTGGGGAACTAGGAGAGCTGCCAACCGATTTCTGACTCGATGGGTTGCGCTTTTCCTTGGGCTACGTGCAGCACTCGACTGTTCATCAAGCAAGGGCAAGTAACAGGAAGGACCAGCCGTGCCACCTTTTCTGGAGGATGCAACGATGCACTTTTCCAGATCTATATACCGAGGGTGGATATGTGCTTCTTGCACCAAATGTGTTTAAAGCATGTGTTTGCATGTTGGTCCCACTCCACTGATATTGAATATTTATGCGGCTTTGAAGTTAAGATTCGAAATTTCGACACAGATTATGTTCATGCTTCTCTTTAATAATATACCGTGTACCATCACAGTGAGTGGTGGGTATTTCATCATCTATGCTAGCATGCAGTCCACTCTGTGTGTGTGTGTGTGTGTGTGTGTGTGTGTGTGTGTGTGTGTGTGTGTGTGTGTGTGTGTGTGTGTGTGTGTG